CGTTTCGGCCTTCCAGGCCTCATCAGTGCAGCTAGGGTACAGACCCAAACGAAACGTTTGACCAGTTTAGGTAGGGCCCAAACTAGTCCCACGACCACTAATGATTACAGAGTCAAACCAAGGCAATATATATACACAGCCCAGGTGTGAATGCAAATAGTGGAACACAAGCTATGCGGCTCGGTTCCAGTAGATACAGAGAACATTTTGTTATTCTTAACGCGTCCTAAAAAATTCTTACGAGACAGTACTAGTCCGTGAATTTGTGAACAAGATCAGAGATCTAAAGATGCAATCTCTACCATGCATCAATGGCGGCGCTGGATCTCAATAGAGATTCTTATATATATATATATATATATATATATATATATATATATATTCTCTCTATAATTTATGTATTTCTAATGTAAATTTTGTATAACTAATTTTTCAATCTTTATTAGCATCAATATGGATAAATCCTAGGCTTAATATGCTTTAGTCACTTTTGTTTATCTGTTATTTATGTGTATTATCTTAGTAGTCATTAGTTGGAGGTACACACATATTTGGTGACAGTGGTTTAGGCTGCCTTTGTGCTTTCCTGGCAGCTATTGACTATGATCTATTTAATGTAGTTGTTAATGTAATGTTCGTTTCTGATTTGTATTATATTTCGTATCTTTTGTCTGAATAAATAATAATAATAATAATAATAATAATAATAATACATAATATACAGTGCTGTTTTTAAAGGAAAAAATCCACTTATTTTCAATGGGGTTGTTCCCGTACATATGATGATTTATTTGAAATTTGCACATTATATATGTTTTATTATTGTTATTCTATAATTTGTATTGATATAAAATATTGATTTTGATGACAGGGTGCTAATATGATTACCAGCATTGAGGGTCTGGAACGACTGGAGCATCTTACAACATTACACTTACGTGATAATCAGATCGAGAATCTCAGCGGATTTTCAGAGACCATGCGACTGCTACAATATGTTAATCTTCGCGGCAACAGTGTGACAGATGTGAAGGAAACTGCGAAATTAAAATGTCTGCCTTTACTGAGGGCACTTGTGTTATCAGGTATTGATAGGCCTACAATGTATTTTGAGAAATTTGATATTGAACACTTTCAAACAAAAATAGAACACAACCGTGAAATGCGACTTCAAACTCCTGTAGGTATGCAGAAGTTGAAGTTAACAAGCACTTAGCCACCGGCCTCTCTGAACATAATGTTATTTAATAAAATATAACAACACAGTGGCGTATCTTGGAGTCTTGAAATAGGGGACCTGATGGGGGGGGTGCAAAGGTGAATGTGGGGAGGCTTAATGATTAGGTAAGGAGCCAGCTTACAAAATAAGGTGATTTGAGGTGATTTTTGACTACTTAAGCATGATTTTTTTGCTTCTAACATTTTCAATGGGGGATGCAAGCATTTCGGCTGTGACCCCCCCCCCCCTTCCCACCCCTGGATACACCACTGTAACAACATTGTAATTTTGTAAATGTGGTTAGTAGTTTGGAAGATTATACATACTCTATGGAGATAGTTATTGAACATATTACTCTCAAAGTATCAAACTTCATATTTCAGACTTGGTAACTTAGCCCAAAGTAAAAACATTCTTGTTTAGCATCACCACCCCACCTGAATTTTCGATACAAAATAAAAAATTTAGAGGCAGGAATTTTTTTTTAAAATTAAAAACAAATGAATATTGTTTAAGTAATGCTAATCAAAATAATATAGGCCTATATTAAGTGAATTAAACAATTATTCATTAACCAGGTGTAATATTGAAAATAATAAATTTTAATACTTTTTTGTTTTCTGAAGGAAATTGAAAGTGTTTAATTTTTCGGAAAAATTTCTTTGTTTTCGTTTACTTTGTTCATGATGTTAAAAAGTATTAATATAGGATCATGCTTAGTGGGAATGCGAGTTTGTAACTTGCCCCATCCCACCTAAAATTTTGTTGAGATGTGACGCTAAAAAGCACCTTATTGATTTGTTTTAAAAATGTTAACTTCCTATTTCCAGACAACCCTTGCCAGGATGAGGATGACTATCGAATGGAGGTCCTCATTAACGTTCGGAGAGTTGAACGACTCGACAAGGATGAATATACAGAAGAGGAACGGCAAGAAGCTGAAGAGACTTATGAACAGAGGAGAGCAGAACAACTCGCAGCCGAGGTAAGAAAAAAAGTAGAAAGAGGGAAGAAAAAATGAGTGCTGTAATGATATACCAAGGGTTTTGAAAGGGTGGGGTGTGAATGCTGAATTTTCATAGAGACAAGGAGCCCTCTTTGGTCAATTATTTTTTTCATTGTGTTTGTTTTATTTGTTTAAGGATTTTTAACTATAAGACTATCATACACATTTAGGTGACGTTGCCAAGACAAATTAAGATTTTTAGCTCTGATGAGGAGCTCTAGAAACACTCAGCTGATTGGTTAATAGATCTTTTTTATATGGGCGCCAATATACCCTACTGCCTCTATTTTACTACTCTCAGAGCTTTCAAGATTACGAGAACTTGTTTTTTTTAAGCAGCGGTCTACTCTGTAATAACATAACACCATACGCACACACTTTGCCTGTAGGCAATGATCAAGTAACAATTCCATACTTTTTTATAAAGTGTTTTCGGTTCGTTTTTCTTGTTCAGAAGTCACCATACCAGCTTCAGGTCCCACTTTAAGAATAAGGTAATTAGCATGTCTTAATAAGGACATGCGCTATGATCAGCATTGTCGGGTTTCAAACCAGAGAACATGCGTGCTAAAGGCCAGTTTGCACTTGACAGCGGCGAAAAAAATAAAACAAAAGTATGTTTTTATGGTGATCCACACTGAACGCAAAGCGACTATATGACAGGATGTTGTGTTGCTCAGCATAGAATAATTTTCTGTTTCTGACTCCGGTCATCCTTCTGAGCATTTAGGCTGCAGAACAAGCCACGAAAATTGCGTGCACTACTGCTGTTGTCGTGCACTGGGTAAATAGATCGCAATATGCAACAGAATATTTTTATCACTGTTGTGTGCCGCTGTCACATTTGTGTAAATAGGCCTTAAAGCTGCAGTTACCACAATTTAATAACATTTATTTATTTAGCTTTTGCTAGCTTTAATACAGGTATCTTTCAATGCTGACCCCATCAAGATTATCAAACAACTGTAGTCATGATGTGCCTACATATGAGGCATGTCGTGGCGAAATGGTTAAGTTGTCGCACAGTCCAGTATTGAGTAAATGAGCTATAAACTATAGGAGCTCAAAAATTGCCTAAAAATCCCAATTTGTTTTTCACTATAGATCAACAGTTTAATGTCTTATTAATCATGTCCCAAAGTATTAGTTCTGGAAGTGGTTAACAAATTGTTTATTTAATGTTATTGTTCATAGTTCATTCT